GTAATGTAAACAGCAGCAGCAGCAACAAGAAAATAAACAGCATTTATTTCAACACGTTTTAAAAAATTTCCGGTACTGTCACTAACAACGATTATGATGATAATATCACAGTGATAGTGGTGGTGGGATAATGATGATAATAGTAGTGATAATGATAATAATAATAGTAATAACAACAATAACAGTAATGATAATGATAACGATGGTGATGATAATAATGATAGCAAATAATAATAACGATATTAGAAATGATAATGATAGCAATAATAATGATAACAATAATGATGATAGCAAAATTAATGATAATAATATTTGTAATAATTGAGTTAATGTTAATGCTCATGCTAATGATAACAATAATCATTATCACGATAATAGTAACAATAATGCTAACAACAACAATAACAATGATGATAGTAATAATAACAATAACAACAACAATATTCTCAGAATTTATTATATTAGCAATGATGTTGATCACGATGATAGTAAGAATAATAACAGTGACTAGAACAGTAATGATAACAGAACAAGAAGATGAACAGGAATGATTATAAGATGACACTCGCAACATAGATCATAATTACGATTATAGATCATAATAAAGGATGACGACAACAAAATCAAATCAACAGCTAACGGAATATTAAAACAATGATTCAGCATTACGTAAAAGCCCATAATTCACAGCATGGCTCTAATCGAATCGTATATTTACCTTAATTTTATAACTGAAGCTGGTCAGATTTTAAGAAATTACAGAATTCCCGTTTTCTATGAGCTTGCCATTACAGAATTCCCGTTTTCTATGAGCCTGCCAACCCCAAAACAGAGGAAGTGCGCAGAGCGTCACGTGCGCCGAATATCTCTTCTCTTCAGACAAATGAATATCCGAATGAATATTCAAATATGGTAATTTCATGCTCGACCATTATTCACAACAAATAAGGGCTGCACGACTCAGCGCGGATACACGCCGTGTGTTAAACTCTAATGGTTCCTTCTCACTTGGTGTGCGCTGGACTCAATTGCATGGGGACACGTACATAGACACATACACTCACATGTGTGTGTTTATTTGTTAAACACACACATATATACATATACATGTGTGTGTGTGCGTGTGTATATATGTATATATGTGTGTGTGTTAAAACACACACATATATACATATACATGTGTGTGTGTGTGTATATATGTATATATATGTATATGTATACGTATGCATAAATACAAATATAAATATACATACATACATACATACACATATACACACACACACACACACACACACACACACACACACACACACACACACCACACATAATTATATAATATATATATATATATATATATATATATATATATATATATATATATATATATACCAGGACATACTAATGAGGTAATGGAAAGCCATTAAACTCGCCACACACAGCAAGGACATTGGAAAGGTGAGTTGGCAATTTCGAATTCGGACAAGATCACATATTGATGCAATCAAATTTGATCTCAAAACAGTTATCACTTTCCTCATGAATTTTGTTTAATGCAATGTTATATATATATATATATATATTATATATAATATATATATATATATATTATATTTTTAATTGATTAATTAATTATTTTTTTTTCGGGGGGGGGGGTTGATTTTGTTTTTATAAAGCATCAAAAAATCACCGAAAACAAAGTATTATTTTGGGGGATGCGCCATCTTTGTACCTATGACGTCACGGAGCAGAAAGCGCGGGAAGGAAGTGCATTGTGGGAGGAGGCGCCGAACCCCTTAAGTGTATATAAGGGCGGAATTTGTTTAAAACCAATCAGTCAAACAACAAACTCCATTATGGTTTTCAAGGTGTGTTCGCTTGATTTTTTTTTTTTTCAAATGATTTACAGTATGTGTGGATGGTTGTTTGTATACGCAAATACATACACGACACGCACGTATATATATATATATATATATATATATATATATATATATATATATGGTATGTATATAATATATACATATTTATGTACATATAATATATATATGTATATATATATATATATTATATATATATATATATATATATATATATATATATATATATATATATTATATATGTATAATGTATATATACATATATATACACATACTGCAGTGTGTGTGTGGGTGTGTGTGTATCTATTTATCTCTCTATTTATCTATCTATCTCTATATATAAATAAGTACACACACATGCAGTATATATATATATATATATATATATATATATTATATATAATATATATATATATATATATATATATATATATATATATATATATTAATATATTTGTATATATATATAATATATATATATATATATATATATATATATATATATATATATATATATATATATATATATATATATATATATATAATATATATATATATATATATATATATATATATATATATATATATATATATATATATATATATATATATATATATATATATATATATATATGGGTGTGTGTAGGTTTTTAGAATTAATTTGTCTCTAACAGTAATGTCTGACAAAGATTCGTTTCGACGATTGGTCCCAACAGACACGAGCAAGAGATAACATAACACTTGGACGCATCATGTAATTCTTTTATTGCAGGTGTTCGTCGTGCTTTCTCTCGCGGCCGCCGTCCTCGCTCGGCCCGAGGCTGGGTATCCTGCCCAGGAGGTCAGTCTTGCTTCTAGTCTTCTGCAGTCGAGCTTAAGCGCAAAATATCCATTTATATCAGACAAATGCAAGAAATAACGGTGCATTATTTCCATTTTTGCCTTTTTCTCTCTCGAAGGAACCAGCCAAGTACTCGTTCGAGTACGAGGTGAAGGACGAGCCATCCGGCAACGACTTCGGCCACCAGGAGGCTCGAGACGGCGCCCACACTCAGGGCGACTACTTCGTCAGGCTCCCCGACGGCCGCCTGCAGCAGGTCGCCTACACCGTCGACGGCGACTCCGGCTTCGAGGCCGAGGTCAGCTACGAGGGCGAGGCCAAGCATCCCCAACACCCGCCAACAGGATATGCCTAAATACTTCTCGATTGAATTGATTGAAACGATTGTATTTTGTAATAATTAATCGATAAAGGTGAACCATCGGCATGATTATCGGCCCTACATATCAGCACATGAAATCGTCAAATGAGGGTCATATTAGCTGACCTTTCACTGCCATGTGTGGATACTTCCTGCTTCTCCAAGGTGATCCTCAACTGCTCAGTGAAATAAGTGACCAAGTGTAGGACGACATAACCTCTTCCGTGTTGGCAAAAATAGAAAAGAAATACACTGTACACAAATTAGGTTTATGCAAGATGACAAAGCAGTTTTAAAACCCTCGTGGATTTCGTCTTCAGACCTGGATACACAACCCCCAAGGATTTCGAAAAGCCTGTGTCACCTTTCAGTGCACTTGCTTTGTATATCTTCCGTCTCTATCTGTCTAATAGGATTGTATGTCCGTTTTACGAAGGTCTTTTTCCGGTCGTTCCCGTTACTACTTTTCTCGCACAGACAGACTATTAAACCTCACATTCGCTGCAGACGAGGTTGTTTAGACTAAAATCGTTGAACTTCATCTACCCTTGTTATTAATAGGGAATTTCTGATATATTAAGAAATGTCTCCGTTAGCAGAATCCACGAATTAATTAATTTGTGGTTTTACGAATAGATTTTTTATGTAAAAAAAACGTAAATATTAAAGGGCAAGTTTATTTATAGAAATTCCAAATAAGAGTACAGACTATTTGGTAAAAAATAACGTATAATAGATGAATGAAATGGTTAATCTTGAGAATTTGACGACCTCTTTTGCACTCTCAATTCCCTTTCTAATATACTTTGTTTACCTCTCTCTCTCTCTCACACCACTCTTTCTTTCTCTCACATACATACAAACTCATATATCAGTATACATCCCCCAAATTAAATATAATTAACAAACTGATCTTGCAATTTGCATATTTTCACAGATGATATCAAATATTCTTTCTATGAAGGAAAAAACGACATAAACAAATATAGGGTTTGGGAAATTAATAAAAGAAATTTTATAAATCACCAATTCAGAGGTAAAAACCATGTCTTCACACAATTATCACACAATTCCTAAATGGTGACCACATCCGATGAAAAACGTCTGTAAAACAGTTTTATCCCATTAAAGTTTAGGTGTTGAAGGTAATTACACATCAGTATTAAGAGAGATAGAGAGATAGAGATAGAGAGAGAGAGAGAGAGGAGAGAGAGAGAGAGAGAGAGAGAGAGAGAGAGAGAGAGAGAGAGAGAGAGAGAGAGAGAGAGAGAGAGAGAGAGAGAGAGAGAGAGAGAGATCAGATATATATACACATGCATTTATCTAATCTATCTGGTAGATATGCATATCTAAGCTGAAGATATTTATATTCATTTATCTATCTCTCCGATAGATATGCGTGTCTAGACTGATAGATATGCATTTGTTTCTGTGTATTAGCATATCCGTATAATGAAGATTCACTGGGTCGAATCTGGCACAATTTTATCAAACCAGCCATGAATAACCCCGATAAGTAAATAAATAAATAGATAACAAATAAATAAATAAATTAATAAATAAAAAAAGGTCTTTTTGTGGTCGTTCTTATTACTGTTTTTCTTGCGCGAACGGACTAGGGTTAACCTCACTGCAAACGCGGTTATTTTGAACGTGTTTTGAACGTGAAATTTCATCTGAAGAATTTTACAATATACTTGAGGATGTTTTGTGGTGTATCTAGAAATGTTTATTGGTGTATCTGCTTGTAGAATCCAGCGGGGAATCTTGGTAACATTAATAAATTGAAAAAAGAGAGAATGAAAACAAGAGGATGATATATATATATATATATATATATATATATATATATATATATATATATATATATATATATATATATGAATAATAATTGAATGAACTAGTCGGTGAATTACTATAT